CACTGCCTCATCGCCTTTGATAATGTCCACCGCAGTTGTGGACGAAACGTCAGGAAGAAATTCCCATAGACCACGGCTTCAAAGCCCGGAAAATATTCCTAAATGTGATTTAACCGGCCGTGAAAGCCTTCATAGTCTGATTCAGAATGATAGAATGTTCACTTGCCTTCAATCGTCCATCGTTCAGCGCGGGAATGTCCTTGTTGGGGCTCTTGAAGTGCAAGTTCTGCGGAATGACGCCGCTTTCCATTGCAATGACAATCTTGGCCAGCGAGCAGAGCCCGGAAGCGGGCTCTGAGTGACCCATGTTCGACTTAACGGAGCCAATCAAGAGGGGCGTTGATCGGTTTTTGCAGAAAAAGTCCGCAATCGAATTCACTTCCTGTGGGTCGCCTACTTTGGTGCCGGTTCCATGCGCCTCCACATACACAACGTCGTTTGGACTGATGTCCAGGTCTTCGTAGGTTTCCTTGATTAGGCGGTTCTGCATTGCGCCCGAAGGGAACGTGATTCCTTTAACGAAAGTGTTCGGGTAATGAAGAACAGTGTGGGTAAGTGAGGAGGGAAGCAAATACCTTGCTCTTTGTTGCCGTCCACATTGGTTTTGGCGGCCAAAACCGTTCCGTAGACTCTGCGAGCGACGCTGGCCTTTTGAAGAAACACCACAACGGCCGCTTCGGAGCGCACGTATCCATTTCCCGTAGCATCGAAGGCTTTGCACGTGCCGGTAGGCGACAACATCCCCAATCTGATTATGTACTTTTTGGTTCAAAGTCATGTTTCCCCGATGGATAACGGCTAGTTACCTGTGAAACTGGAGCGAGGAGGTGGGCTTAAGCAGCAGATTGACGCCGCCCACAATGGCAGAGTCGCACTGCCCAGTCTGGATGGCATTTACAGCCTGCTGGAAGGCAAAGAGCGAACTGGAGCAGGCCGTGTCGATTGCATAGCTGGGCCCTTTGAAGTCGAAAGTGTAGGAAATCCTGTTGGGGAACATGGCGCGGCAGCATCCAGTCAATCCATATCCGTTGATAGTGTCTGGATCCTGTGCGGTCCAGAACTCGCTGGACTCCGAGTCGGAGACCCCAATAAAAACCCCTGTGCGTGAGCCTTTCACGTCGTTGGGGTTGATTCCTGCAATCCGAGCCATTCACCGCCTGTCGAAGTTTAGGGGAATGAACAAGCCTTACCGGCATCCACAATGGCTTCGTGGGTCAATTCCAGAAGCATTCTAAGTTGCGGGTCCATCACGTGGGCCTGCTTGGCATGCACCCCAAAGAACGAAGCATCGAACTTGGATAAATCCTTCAGTTTTCCAGTTCGGGTGGGTAGGCCGTAGAGTCCAGTCGGCCATCTTCGGGGATCGTCAGTGACCAAATCCACCCCTTCGAAGAGCTGTTGCTTGAACTCTTCGATGGAGTTGCTTTCGGGCAGGCGACCGGAGATTCCAGTAATCACCACATCGTCATTCGATTTCACTCCGTTCTGGATGTGGGTGTCTGCTCTAGCTGGCATCGTGTTGGGATACTGTCGCTTTTCTCTGCGAAGAAGTTTAATTTAAAGATTTAAATTGTGCCAGCCTGTTTGTGTGTGTGTGCTCGCTTTAAAGGCGACGTAGGTCGCAAATTAACGGCAATTACGATGGACAAATTGACCAACAATAGTGGTGCGTCTCAAGTGCCGTTAATCTACTGTTATAGCTGCAGCTACGTTCCACCTGTCCCCCTTTGTCGAGTGGGCAGACACCCGCCAGCGAGGAAAATCAATCAATAAACCCTCACAATAATTCAAGGTTTTCCTCATTAAATGGAACACAGTCAGTCAGTGCTGCATACGGGGCTGCTCTAAAGTGGGTAATAGAAAAAGTGCCGCGTTCCCAACTTTTTCAATCAGCAACAATTAACGCGCTCTTGTACATCGATTAATATGGTTTTATCGGCGGAAACTTACGCGATTGATGATGCTGTTGAGTAATCGTCATTCAGGCAGCATTGAACTTCATTCAATATGCAAACGCTTGTGTACAAACAATTGCTGCCCTTGAACCGGTAAAATGCATATTAAGCAGCAGCTTGAGGAGATTATTTCAGGGGGATCTTTTTCTTTCTCTATTGGGTTAGTTTGCGAGGGTTTGGAGCGCTCAGAATTGGCAGTTTTCTGATCCCTACCAAGAGAATATTCAGAACAAGGCTTTGATCGCTTGTGATTTTATTTAGTTTCCAAATTTTGATAAAATTTGTATTAGCCATGACGTTTAGGGTCAAAATTGGGTGGATGGTAATTTGCGAAGTAATCTCAGACATGCCTTTTTGTGGCGCTCGTCAGGTTCTCAAGTGAATCGGACGTGCGTTCTAATGTCATACACTCAAGTCAGTAGTACGTTTTCCAACGGGCGTGTACGGGTGGGCTCCGTCAGAATTCACAAAAACAGCCGGATTTTTCAGCTTTCAAACCCAAAACTCTAATATTTGCACAACGAAATTTCCCCCCTCTATTCTAAATAGTTTTCCCCACTAGTAGTGTGTTTTTTGGGGAAAAACGCGACTTTAAAACTGCGGCTTATTCTGATGTTTTGATGTCAAACAAGCGGCCATTTTGGCATGCGCTGTTGAAGCAAACACTGTTGTCTTTTGAACATCAAGGTTTGAGTGCGCGTTGTTTACGCGGAATATGATAACGTATAAATGTGTAGTAATTACGGCAGTTTCCTCCGTTCGAAAAATACGCTTACTCGTTTACGAATCCGGCGTTACGCACAACGCCGGAACCGGAACGACAAACTGGACTTTAAGCCACCGCTAATGGATTATTTGCATGCAGAAATACACGGATACTGGTAGGTGCTTTTCCTTTACGCTCTAAATTGGCTTGTTTATCAACCAAAAGTTACCTCAATCGAAGTTTAGTCGAGATTGTTCAACGTGCCCCTATTTATGACCCCCATAATTTCCCATTCTCACTGTTAACAAAGAAAAAGAACTTAGCTTCTCTGGCTACTTCTACATTTTAAGTAGTTTCCTTAAATTAGGCAATTCTTCAATAAAATTGCGGAGGTAGTTTTTGATTGAAAATTGTGAAGTGGCGAATGCGCCCTTAAGAGTAATTTTTCAACGTTTAGATTCTAAAGCGCTTTAAAACCCTGCATAAATCAAACACCAAATCCACTAAACCCCAACATACAGCCAGTGTTATAGCTGATGATAATTTGCCCAATTATTTATGAATTTTACACGGATTATCCCGTCGATTTTCTATTAAAGCGAATGATGAATGTGAACTAGTTCACTAGGAGAATGGAAAATGTTTTGTGTTGCCATTAAACAATTTTAGTTTGTGTATATTATGGACATGCACTCAACCCAAGTAGAATTCGAATCATTTCAATTTAAGTGGAGCAATGTCGAAACCAGGCAACATGCTATAGCTGGCCGGGTAATAGGAGGAATAATTTTCAAAATTGATTTATAGCACGAACAAATTCGTGAAAAACAAAGATTTTAACATAATCGTCTTAATGGAAAATTAAACGTTTATTCATTTCGCCTGTCCTGCAGTTGCACCCTTACGGGAGCTATTAAATTCCTACTCGTGTAGCTGAGTAATAACGCAAAATCCCCGTTTGAAGGTCGTGGATTTACTTACTTATGCCAATAATTCGCTAGTCCAAGCCGATGGGTCAGACACACAGAGCTGGATCCAAACAATACTATCACAGCCTACAGGGGGGCAAAATTCCTGAATAAAACTTCAAAAATCTCGCCAAAAAAACAAAAAATGTGTGTGTCGATCGCGATTATGCTAGCGCCGTTACTAAGTTCGAAATGGCCGGCTAATGGTACATCCACACTAGCTCGCACTCAAAACGCGACTGTGCATTTCTGGGACGGAACGCGCCACTTTATGGTGAGGCGATGGCGCGATCCGAATCGGCCAATTGCGTGCCGTCTTCGTGCCGAAAAATTGCCGGTCGATATTCGCATGAAAGAATCGTGGTCGCAGCAACGAATCTCTATCAGCCAGTGTGTCGAATGTTGATTTGCTGCTTTTGCCAGGGCGATTCAATTTTTGGGCAAACCGGTTTTAAATCACAGTCACATCGCCTTAACTAAGTCGTATGTCAGGATAACAACTATTTCATTGGTTGAGCCAATGTCAATTGAACTAATCCACAAGCCCTCTAAATATTCGTAAGCAAGTTGTCAGCGGAAAATGCCTTACAAAAGTATCTTTGCCGCACCGACCGGTATATCAGGTTCGTTATCAGTGAATGGTTATTTGCGCTAAACTGTTCCCTCGTACATGGATTTAATGCACGAGTTTGTTGTTTGTAGTTTGTAGATTTTATTTCTACACTGATAAAGTTCGCAAAAGTGTTAATCATTCAAACATGTCTCATTATATTGTTTTATAGATATCGCAATTATTGCCCTGTGATAAGCCCCGTTAATGGACTAATTGAATAAGTAGTATTCCACAAAGTCAGCCCTTGTTTTGCCTGATACAGGTGGTCACAATTCACTACGATAGCGGAAGATCAATTTTATTATCTGTTTGCACATCCGTTCAAGGCATGATAGTTTCAAATATGAATGGATGCGGGCAATGGACTAGAAATTCGTTACTCGTTAGTAGCAAAAATCTCTTTAGTTTACATGGTTGAATTCCAGCTTAAAGGGCTTCTTTCTCTTCGGGAAATCCTGGCTTGAGCGCTGTAGATCCACCTTGTATAGAAAGAGCAAAATATCCGGCCTCTGCACCCTTTTAAGGCTTCTTCGGTGACATTGAAATGGGGAGCAGTTAGTTGGTAACCGAGAAACCGCTGACCTTGACTCAAAATCTATTGTTTTCATTACTAGCCAGAGTGGAAATCGTCGAAAAATTGTCACTGAAACAACAAGGAATATTTAAATTTGCTTGTCAATGGCGCTGATTAGGCGGTTTTCTGCAAACAATTGTCTAAATATCTCGGTCCATTTCATCAGGTTCACTAGCTCGAAACAAAAAAAGTAAACGGTAAAAAGCATTATCGTTCTGCAGTCGGTATACCGGAGACAAATTGCATTCATTTGAGTCACGCCATGTGCGTTTCATCATTCACAGCGCTTAGATTATGCCGGGTTTTTTCTCTCTCTCCCTGCTGCTTCACCCAGAGACAAGGGATAACTTTTAATTGTCTCTGGCTTCACCTGCTTCTCTTTCATTGTGTTTGGGCCCACTCGAAAATGCGTTAACTTGAGAGGGACAAGCGATTGACTGAAGAAATGTAAATAGCTGATTGATTAGGCGCTAGTTTCTCTAAACCGCAAGTAAATAGACGTAGTGTCGGTTTTTGCGCCGTTTTACGCTTGTCAAACCTGCTGAATATCAAATAGATAATAATTCCAATATGTTGTTAAAGTCCTGCAATATTTGTGCAGAATCATTGGCTACTGACGTGATTAAGTAATTGCCGCTTCCACTTAGAAAAAAGAGGTTAAAATGCATGTACTACGTTGCAATCACGTGATAGCCGGAGATTGATTGGTTTCCTAAAAATTGCCAAAAAAACCACTTCCAGAGCTTGATTATTGATACTCATTTTGAGCTTTTCACCCCAACTTTTTTATGCATCTAGCAATTGAGACGCATTCAAAGCCATCATGCATCAGTCGTGATTATTTGCTTCTAAAACACAAATAACAACAAATCGTTACATTCCCACTGGTCGTGATTGCTCACGTGACTTTCGGGTATTCCACAATCAACGAAAAATTACTTGACTTTTCTGCTGTTTGATGTGGCTTTTTACGGTTCAGAGGCGATTTGCCAGGCCCATCAGCAGGTCAAGCCGATGACTTTGACCAAGGAGCGGGCTTATGTAAGTAAGGCTTATCAATGTTTAATTTTTCTAATCGGAACATGAGGCTTCGACATTGCAGCAATGACCGGTCATTTCACGTTGAATGTGATCTTTGGATGATTTCAAGCTAATTTTATCGCTGTATAAGAGTCACAAGTAAATCGGCAACTTGTCATTATTCGATGAGCCATTATTGCTAGCTGTTTATTATTATTATTGTTTCTCAGCCAGAGTGTTTGGCACTTGAGCTCTTGATGAGCTTTGGTGTTCGTGGCGGTGGCGAACAAATCATTAATGGCATTTAATTGGCGATTAAAATTTGGGGAAATAAAATTTTGGCTAATATGGATAAATTCACACGGCAGCTAATGTAGTACTTAATGAATTTAGTCATATTTATTTTAATTTAATGCCTCATTTACTTCACTTTCTTGATAATGGCGAATGTGTTTTTATAATCAGCCATCTAAAACGACATGTAAATTTACTAATCAGGCGTCGTTTGTTTTTGCTTCTGGGTTTGTTGTGTAGAAAAATACTATTGGGTGGTTAAAAAAAAATTCAAAAAATATATTTAAAGTCCAATCAACTCCACTAAAACAGCCAAACCTGCCTAAAATACATACACCCTATTGAGCAAAAGTCAAAATTTCGTCCATTAATATAACGCATAAAACTGAGTTTATTTGCAAGTGTGAAGCTATTTTTGGGCCACCAAGAGCCCAATGAGTGGAAGGCTGCCGATCACTTGCCAGAGCAGATTGTAGATGATCCGCACTGGCGGAATCCAGAGGCTGAGCAGATAGAAGGCGTAGTAGTAGAGGAAGCAGACGAAGAGCTTGTGTAGCACGTATAATCTGGAATATTTGGTGTAAAATCTTTAAAAATCCTTTCTGTGAAAAAATACTTACACTTTTTGCTGCAGCCTGCACCGTGGCAGTGAAGTTAAGGGCTCTTTCATGCAGTATTGGCGCGCTCCTAGAACACAGTTTTCCAAGTAGGCTTCGATGGGCAACGCGTTAAAGTCCATAGGGAAAATCTTCTTATCCGTCTCACCCATCTGCAATAAAATGGTTTCTGTTGGGTGTGTTTGGGAGATTTTGCAACAGTACCTCATCCCAAAGCGCTAAGAATTTGTCGCTGGCAAAGTTCCATTCCCGGACGGTGAAAAATTGCAGCAGTTCTAGGCCCTGGTGGATTTTCTTCTGGACGCGAATCATGCTAAAATGTCCATAACTTAGAAGTGATCTAGAGAGTTTTTTGAGATTTCTTACAAACGTTTTTGTCGGATTAAAAGCATGATGAAGTCGATTAGCAGGGCGGGCAGCCAGTGCATGAAAATGCAGCAAATTGTGTGCATTATCTTCGACGATCTGATGTCCCCGTCTGGATACCAAACTTGCATCTCGAACGGATTTGCGTAGACAATGTTGCGCCCTTTATCCAAGACTTCGCCCATGGTTATCTGGATCACGCCGTCCTGAGTCAGGTTGTAGACTGGCACGTCTTTTTGCCTGGCAATAAGTGCGTTGTTTGATTGGCTGGAAGTCGCAAATGAGGTTCAAAGTACCTTTTTTGGCTCCCCAGCTTGTACGCGATTACAATGCTGGCATTGATGGCGAAATCCACCGGAATAACTTGGGCCTTGTTGGACGACAGACAATGCATGGATCTTAGCACGCCTTTGCCAGCTGCCACTAAAAGCCCCATTGGCCCATTCAGACTGTCCACCCAGCCAGTCAGGGGCTCGAGAGCAGCGGGGCACACTAGAAAAACTCGTCTAACATTCTATGGTGGCAAAAAAGGGAAAACATTACCAACAGCCGGTCGAATGATGCAAACTGGCATGTTGTCCTTCTCATTGGCCACCAGGATCTCAGCCAATCGCTTGCTGTAAGTGTAGGTGTTCGGGTGGGGTTCGATGATTTTCTTCGTGGCCAGTTCCAGGGCTCCTGGATCGATCCAGCGCACTATTTCGATCACTTCTCTTGGATTGTCTTTGCATTCGTACACCTATTTGGAAGATTTTCCTTGTGTTTAGAGTTAGTCAAGATGGGATTGATGACGGCCTTACCCGTTCCTCGAAAACTTCAATATCCGCCGAGCAGTAGGCAGTGCTAAAGTGGCAAAACGCCACCAAGTTCTTGATTTTTTTGGCCACGTCCAGAACAGTGGCGGTGCCCGCGGTGTTTTGCTCCACAGCGTCCCTCAGGTTGGCCTCTAGTTTCAGGGTGGCCGCCATGTGAAATACCACAGAGACGTTCTTTGCCAGCGCGTCCAAGTCTTGGGGTTTTAGCCCTAAGCCTTCGGTGTAGAGATCGCCCGCTAAGGCCACCACTTTCTTGATCGCATCGGGGTCTTTTTGGCGAAGGCGCTCAAACATCTGAAGTGAGTTATAGTTGCCGCTTGGAGGATTTTATTTGAATGGGGCCTTACTGGGAGCTTCCACATGTCCTCCACTCTTTGTTGAGGTGTTCGGCCGCGTTTCTCCCTCAGCAGGATGTAGACGGTCTTCAGTCGATCGCAGGAGTATAGCAGCTTCTCCAACATCACTTTGCCCATGAATCCGCTGCCTCCGGTTAGGAAAATGCTGCGGCCTCCATACCATTCGGCGATCGGGCTTTTTTCTTTCGCCATTTGTCTGAAATTGAATCGGATCATTACTCATTATGGGAAGAGTTTTTCGGGCTTTTTCAGGGGTTTACAAAGTCAGAGGTGGTTTATGCTTTTGACAAGGCGGATGCGCCCAGTTGTTTTTGTGTGGAAAGTTCGCTGTTCAACAAAAACGATGGTTTAGAGTTTTCAAGCGAATGTCTTACCTATAAAGTTTTATGTTGAACAGTTACTCTCACGTAATATTTTCGCGGATATTGTTGTATTAGTTCGTGACATTGGTAGATGCACATGATAAAACTCCCTCTTTAAGTAGTAACATTTTAGCAAAGCGTGAAGATTTTACCGTAAACCAAAATACATTAAACTTCACTGGATGATGAAGGCTATTTAGACATCCATTGGATTCCAATGTATTTGTTGTGCCGAGACCTTCGGGCACGACACTTGGGGTTGAATGAAAAAACATTTGTCTAATTGTCTGATTACATGTTTATTGTTCTCTAAACATTAATATATACATTAAACTTCGCTGGATGTTGAAGTCTATTTAGACATCCTTAAGAATCTAATGCAGTGGTGCTGAGCAATTCGGGCACGACACTGGTTCGATGACTATAAACAAGCAATCAGATATGTAATATGCCCGATGTTTTGCGATGTTTAATTGCAGGCAAAAGAATGCGCGTTTTCAATTGCGAAATACTTGCAGGGAAAGTGTTCCAACGCTAAAAGTACATCTATGGCTAAATGCAGCAAATTTTGAAATAATTCTGCAGTGGCGAGATTCTTAATTAGCGCCAGTTTAATGGCATTTTTCTTGTGCTCGTAAATACACAAGATGTGAAGATTGGCCAACACTACGAGTTGTATTAGATATTTGGTAATTGTCCGCTTTTGGAATTGGCAAATATTAAATTTTTCCATAATTTCAATAACGACTGTTTAGCTACTAATATTTACTCGTTTAAAGAACAAGCTCTTAATGCAGCGTTTTCGAGTTAAACTTGAATTGGCGTCGACTAAACATCCTTGATGTTTGGACTTTCGGTCTTGGGCTGCATTAGAAGCCTTGCAAGTGGACATTAAAGCGCTACGCGACTTCGAAGGCTTTAACAACAATAAGGTGATAATTATACGTGTTCATTTATCGGACATCGTTAAACACGCGTTAAAATGCATGTAAATTGATAGATAGATTGTGCGGAATTGAGTAGACATTAAATGAATGTATGCGCGTGTTTAATGAGTTTTTGAGAAAAGCGTGTCGAAAAAAGGCGACTATTTGCTAGTAAATGATCGTTTACTTCCGCATTAATAATCGATTTTGGAGGTATAGCGTCGCGTTTTCGTTGAGACGTTTTTTAAAACAAGACTCTAATTAATGTCGGTAATTATGCATACTTGGACGACATTGAAACTATTATATTTGTTTATTTACGCGAACAGCGCTCATTTTCCTTTACTTAACCGTGTCAAAGTTCTTAACCAGGCCTTTTCATTTAAATGCAAATGGAAAGTAGAACGCCTAACATAACATTATATAGTGATTTCGGGTATTATTACACACGTTGCGTAAGCGTTATTATGTGAAGCTTATACGAAATATCTGAAGATGATGGAAATTTATTCTTTTTTGTATAAACACAAATTGAGATCTAGTAAATACGCGTTCTAAATCGCTAACTTACTTGATCATTTAATTGCTATGCATGGGAATTTATTACTGAACTTTCGTTATGCTAGTGGCGCACTTTACGTAGAGCTAATTCGAAATGAAGAAAAGGAAAGTTTTGAATCGCGGCCGAAAAATCTGCGCCAGAACTATCTCGATCAACAACAAATATTTATAGTTGAATCTGATTGCTTGCTCTAAAGGGAAAGCTTGCAATTATTACTGCAAACGCAAAGGCGGGAAATTACATAGTTATTATAAGTCACGCTGCACTTAACAGCACTCAAAACCACGCAACTTTCTTGCTGTTTTTCTACATGCAGTGTGTTTTATAACTGTTTTTTCCTACAAAAATCTTGTTAATTTTCTAGCTTTTCATGGCTGTTCTGCTTCCCTAATTACCCCCTTTTCCGGGATAACCAGGAACTTTCAGTCGTTGAAAAAAGAACATATACATAGCTAATAACCGAACTTGGACCAAACACAAAGTTTTTCACAAATAAAGCTAAAATTGGCGAACAGTAAAAATAAATAAATTAACTATTTAAAATCTATTTAAACTGATTACGAACCTCGTAGTTTCGGAACCTTGCAGAGCACAGAAATGTGGCGTTCAAACGGTGATGAACGTACCCGAATACTGATCGGAAACGGATCGCTTCATAAAGAAATTGGTACTGTGGTACTGGTGGCCGCCCTCCACTACGGTATCTTCTAGTTCGCGCTGGCTGTCCACAAAGTTTCAACTTTTGGAATCGATAGGCTATGCTTTATTTTGACCTAACCGGTTCATCGACTTTCATTTTCTGTGTGTGTGTTTAAGCTCTATGTCTGTCTGTTTTGTTTTTAATTTGAATTTATTGATGTTTTCAATTTTCTCGTGGATTCTGTGACTACAGATATTTAGTTGAATCTCCCCTTGTTTGATTTTGAACATTCAAAATGAGTTGTGTTTTTGATTATTTTGAATTTTATTCGTGAGTGAGACAGCCATTCCGCCACTATGCCCATCTCAGTAGCACTCGTAGAGCTTTGGAGTAAATATACAGTTGGAGCGTTGGATCTTGATCATTCAATGGTCACAAATCCATGAGTGGAAATTTTAAGACGTCCTTAACAGAAGCCGCAATACGCACAAAAAACAATTTTCCGTTTTTCTTATACAATTCCAATAGCAAAAAAGAGTTATTTTTTATGCGGAAGTTGCATCGTTTTTGTTTTGCAAATACAACAATCTAGTCTGTCTAAAATGGGATAGATAAAGATTTAACGCTCAAGTGTATGTTGATGTTGAGGGAATTGTACATACAAGCCGTACAACCCTACATACAAGCAGTTTCATTTTGTTTATTTTGACGTTTATTTGTAGTTACTAGATTATCTAAATAATTAACATTTAACTGGTCTCTAATTTAACTCATGAATTAATTTGAATTAGGGGGCAAAAGTGAAGAACGAAGACGTTTTGCGGATAACTGATGAAGACTACAGCAGCTACATAAGCAACACCAACATCAAGAAGAAGGTAAGCGTTTGATTTTCTTGTTTAATTGCGTTTGCTGATTGTTTATTGTTAATTTCAGTTGAAGCCATTGAATAAAGCAATAGACGACATGCTAGCACGTCTTTGTGTGCGTAAATCGACAGCACTGAGTTCCTGGTGAATTCTTATTGCTGAAGGAAGAACAAACGCCAGAGCACCAACATGGACCTGTGATGGAACTGTTCAAGAGCGAAGACTATTTCCAGGCGAAAGACACTGGTGAATGACGCACCAGAATTTTTGTAAAACGATTAAAGGAGCATATTTAAATAAATTGCATTAAGTTTCTTAAATCCCTTCTAAATTCTTAAATAGGTAAGAGAGTTTTTAACTTCCAAAATCGTTTCAAATGGATGGTTTCAAATGGAAAAGAAAGAAGAAGAGAGATTTAAAACATGTTCGGGTAGCTTATTAGGAAAAGGGTTTTGAGTACTTACAAAAGTGTTCTCTAACACTTCAGAGGGTTAATTTATTCACTAATAGGTCTAACTGAAATTGACAACGGCGCCCTCTGAAGTGAATAGGTCGAACTAAAATCGACAACAGCACCCTCTGAAGTGAATAGGTCGAACTAAAATCGACAACAGCACCCTCTGAAGTGAATACGTCTAACTGAAATCGACAACAGCACCCTCTGAAGTGAATAGGTCGAACTAAAATCGACAACAGCACCCTCTGAAGTGAATACGTCTAACTGAAATCGACAACAACGCCCTCTGAAGTGAATAGGTCGAACTAAAATCGACAACAGCACCCTCTGAAGTGAATACGTCTAACTGAAATCTACAACAGCGCCCTCTGAAGTGAATAGGTCGAACTAAAACCGACAACAGCGCTCTCTGAAGTGAATACGTCGAACTGAAATCGACAACAGCGTCCTCTGAAGTGAATACCTCGAACTAAAATCGACAACGGCGCCCTCTGTTGTGAATAGGTCGAACTAAAATCGATAACAGCGCCCTCTGAAGTGAACAGGTCGAACTGAAATCGACAACAGCGCCCTCTGAAGGGAATACGTCGAACTAAGATCGACAACAGCGCCCTTTGAAGTGAATAGGTCGAACTAGAATTGACAACAGCGCCCTCTGAAGTGAATAGATAGAACTAAAATCGACAACGGCGCCCTCTGAAGTGAATAGGTCGAACTCGTTTTAGTTCGACCTATTCACAACAGAGGGCGCCGTTGTCGATTTTAGTTCGACGTATTCACTTCAGAGGACGCTGTTGTCAATTTTAGTTCGACGTATTCACTTCAGAGAGCGCTGTTGTCAATTTTAGTTCGACCTATTCACTTCAGAGGGCGCTGTTGTCTATCTTAGTTCTACCTGTTCACTTCAGAGGACGCTGTTGTAGGCACTCAAAAAAAACTTTTTCCACAAAAAGCTACCTATTTATTTTCAAACCCAAAAAAATTATAACTTTTTTCACAAAATACGATCATAACCTATTGTTTGATACCAAAAAAAGCGCAAAACTAAAAAACTAATTGGTGCGACAGGTGCCAACTGTTATGTTGCCTTCAAAGAGCGACGTCGACAGATCTATAGGCTCATTGTTGAGGCTGACGTTCCGAATGCAGCCGATAAAGGGAGTGCGAGAGGCGATTCCTCTCACCTTCTTGAGGAGTCGGTGCCCGCCCAGAAATAGGGCGCTGCCAGTGTCGCCGGAAACGGCCGCAGGCGACCCGATCTTCGGATCGGTGAACATATTGTCCACGGACAGAGTGACCACGTTCTTAGACTTAACCACTGAAAAGCAATTTTTTATACTCCAAGTGTATACGGGGCGCAGAAACGGGCTCACCTTGGATTTCATGCCACTGCCCATCGCAGAGCGAGTAGCTGTCGTTGCCTGGCGGGATGTAAGTGGCCACTACAGGCCCCTTTCCATTCTCCACTGCCAGCTTCAGATGCCCGTTGGTCATTTCCAACACTAGATAGTCGCGCCTTCCATGGACAGCCACCAACACTCCTGCAAGTGCAAATTCATTTGTCGATTTGTAATTGAAAGAGAACAGTGAAATTACCGGTGTTCACTCTGGGCTTAATCTGCATCTTAATGTTGAACATCTTTCCTACGAGGAAATGCTCCTTGAGGCGCATGTAGGTCGATAAGCCGCCCCCAAAGAAAGTGCCAAGCTGCAAGAAGGTACAAACAATCTCAAACATTGCAAATCAACTCAGTCATCGGATCAAAACTACTCGAAAAAAAAACTCACCTCAACATTGTCCGAACAAGGAATAACGCCGATCGTTTTCGGGCTCTCCAGCGGCTTGTTGTTCATGTGGAAGTTCTTGATGCACCCATTGAACTGCGTGGTGGTATTCTGCAAAACAACCCTTGAAGACGGTGCGATTGAAGACGCGCAAGACTCACCAGGTTGGGCGACACCATGTTGTAGTCGTTGGGTTGTACGCCACCCAGGTAAAACGGAATCCGCAGGTCCAAAGAAGGCGTCTTGTGCGCCAGCCTGCCACTCAGCGAGCCTCCATCGATCACCAGCTTACCTTCGGCTCCCTCTCTGCTGAAGTCCACCACGTGCCACTCGTTGTCGTTGTACACCATTTGCGACTTGAGCACTAATTGAGTGGGCTGCTCCCCTTTGAAGGTAAACACCACCTATTGTACGATAAAAGTAGCCGTAACGATCGCCTCTTTATCCTCATGGAAAGAACTTACGTAGCCATTTTGAAGCAGGAGGGCGGCATACTGCTTGTGGGTCTTCCCATCCGACACGTAGAAGATGATGCCGTCCGGCTCGCTAGTCTTGAAGTCCAAGCTGAAGTCGAAGTTCTTCCGGAACTTGCCACGCGGCGTGTTGAACTCCAATCGGCTGCCTGGATTGGCGCCGAATCGTTGGCCGCTCTGCTTGAAGTCTTCCATGGCCGGTTCTAATGGAAGGGCGCAACCTGCCTCGATCGTCTGCAAGCGTTCGATGTTAGTGCCGGCTCTTTCGAGCAATGGGGGGAAAAACGGCACCTTGGGAGTGACTGGTGGCGCTCTGCCGCCTGTCCCGAAGGGCATCACTGTGACCGGCAGCTTCGGCTCCGGCAGGCTTTGGGTAGAATTAGGACGTCTCAAGCTGGCCTCAGGTTTGCGTTGGAAGTCCAGTCCGCCATCGCCTCTGGTATCGTTCCCTGCAAACATCCAAAAAAAATATTTAAAAGCCCATTAAAGAGAGGAATTTATTTTAACTGCCAACCCAAGTTACTCACTTTGCTCATAGGGGTTTTCAGTGACAATAACCTGCGTAGTGGTTGGCGGTATGGTGGCCTCCTCGAACGGCACCAGGGAAGGCACTGTAAGCAAATTGTCCCAGTTTCTTTGGCCGGTTGAGCGACTTTTGGTACTTACACTGATGGACCGAAGGATCGATTGGCAAATAGTCCACATCGAGAACGCATTTATCCAGAATCTCAAACGACTTATCCGTGGTGTTTGCAAAGTTCTTCACGTTGCCGTTCACTGTTAGATCTGCGATGCAACCGTGGAAGGGCCGATCGGAGCCGACGGTGCCGGCCAGCGGCCTCACAGTCTTCGGCAGCCCTCCAACGTACATGTGAGCGAACAGAATGTACAATGAAGGCGGCGGATTGTCCGTCCTAAGAACCCAAATACCCCATCGAATAAAAAAACGGACAATTGCCGGAAAACTTACACTTTGTTGCCGTAGTCATCAAAGTCCACCCTTAAGAACTGGTTGTTGTGAATGACCGAAACCACATGCCAATCGCTATCGTTGAAGGTATCCGTGGACACCAGCTCGGTTTTCTGGCTGAGCACCTTCAAGTGTCCATCGACCAGAGATAGAGAAATACCGTTGCTTTGGTCGCTCTCCGTTACGTAGAAAATCAAGCCGTTCGGTTCGTTTGTTTTGAATTTTAGGGACACCTTAAAGTCATTGGCCACCGATAGGTGTTCCCAGCCCACGTAGCCTGGCCGCGATTTGTTGAACGACACCATTGGTGCAAACTACAACCAATCGAAATCCCCCTAACGCCCTAAACTAACATTGATTGGTCGACTCGTACCTTGGCGGGACAACCGGGAATCACGTCGTACGACTTGATGGTGTTCCTCAAGTCTACCGGTTCGCTGTTGATGGTGATGTTGCTGATGCATCCATCAAACTTGATGTTGGTCACATCGGGGAAATTGTGCACATGCGGGTATCCTGAAGAAATTTAAGGGCCTCGTTTTCAAGAAAATCGAGCCAAAATATTCTAAACCCACCTCCAAATGTGATGGTTTCGATCGCCTCCAGACTGTTCCCAGTAATCTGATTGGTCCGATCAGGGGCATCATCAGTATCGATGGTGAGTTTGCCCATTGTCCCGTCTCGGATGGCTGTGATTTTGTGCCAATCGCCATCGTTGTAGCTCTTGGAGGAGACGAACTTCTTCGTCCCACTACCCAAATTGTACTGCAAAACCCCCAAAATCACTCTTTTGCAGTGATACTTAGACCAGTCAATTTACCTGATAGAGAACTTTGCCGCTGCGCAACTCCAGAGCCACGAAGGTTTTGTTTTTGCCACCCAGGAAAATCAGCCCTTCAGTGGCGAAAGTTTTAAAGGACAAAACAATCGAATATTTGGCCCTCAATTGAAGCGATCGCGAGTCGATGATTGCGTAGCCTTGGCCGTTGAAGCGCAGCCCGGTGCTGGGCTGAAGAACCACCAACTTGTCACTGCAATTTTTGTTAATTAGATACCCGATAGGATGAAGCTAAAGGTTCTACTTACCGCTCTTTCGTGCCTACATTGTCGTGGGCGTCCACAAAGTTCCAGAGCGAAATTGGCGTGTTGCCAATGACGAATTCCTCCACTTCCCCTTCAAACGAGGTGACGTCGATGTCCTTTTGAATTTCGTAGTCTTCAGAAAAACTGCCCACGAACAGTTTAGATTTTTTCTGGTCCAGATTGAAGATCGTGTAGGGACCGTCCAGGGATTTCTCATTGGTCGTCACCTGGTCGGGCTCGCCTTGGACTTCTTCACGGATGCTCAGCTTTGCGTTGTGTCCCACCCTGTTTAGTGTTTTTTTGCACGTGTTTGCTTGTTTCTACATATTGATAAGCTGAATCACAAAGTTCAGGTTTCGAACAGTGTACATTTTGTGTCCCGTTTGACGTTAGTTATACGCGACGCATTAGATTGACGCAATTGGTAATGCACTGCTCGCAAATTGAAGTGATCGCTAATTCAAACCTTTCAATGATGAACTGCCGCCAAACATTGTCCGCCACGTATTTATCTGAGTTCAGCTTCTCGGGTCCGTTTCCTATGTCCAGCTTTAGAACTGGGTATCCGTTTTGGATCACCAAAGCCATGTAGTCATCCTGAAACAAGCCCCCCATTAAAGCGTTAGAATCACAGTCTTAGTTCAACAGGTCGACATACAGTCTTAGTTTTCCGCAAATTGGTGCCGGGCGGGTTGCCCAAATAGAACACCAGGCCGCTTTCCTTCTCAGTCCTAAAGTAGCCGCTAATTTTGGTCGAAGTGGTCGAATCTTCCAAGTTGATGGGGTTTCTCAGTTCCAAGGTGGTGTTGGAGTAGAACTTCACGCCCACTTTGATGCGATTGGCCAGATCCCTAGCCAGCTGGATCTGGTTGCTCAGCTTGTTGATCTGGCTCTTGATAAAGTCGGAGGTTTCATTGCGCTTCTGTTGTTTCGCCGGCAGCTCCACCATGTCGTCCAGCACCACTGGTAGCGTCTCATTTACCATGTTCAGTTGGTTCTTCGTCTGATCCAGATTGCGCCTGATATTGTCCACGTCTTTCGGTAACTCGGACGCTTTCGTCTTCTCCTGCGGCAAATCCACGAAGGATTTATTAATACGCTGATTCACCGTGTCAGTGAATCCGATCGCATTGTCCGCCATTTGGGAGGCGTTTTTAAAGCGACGGTCCAATGGGGGCAGGTCGATGTTCTTCAGGATCTGCTCGATTCCTTTCAGGATGGCGTCGTTCTTTGTCTGGTTCTCCTTGAGAGGTGCAAATTTCTCCACAGCCGCCGCCAATGCCGGCTCTAACTCGCTGCTGATGTTTTGACTGAGAGCATGGGCGTCATCCACAGCAATTTGCGACTTGGTCTCAGCCGCCATTGTTCTTCCTTCCACTGTGCTGAGGATGTTCGCTGCATGGTCGGTGTCATTTTTCGCATTATCTGCTGCGTTTCTTGCCCTGAAAATATTCATATTGATCGATAATACCCATCAAAATCACGAGAGTGTGTCTTCCACTGAATTTAATGTACCTTTGAACAGCATCAGCGATGTCTTTGTAAGCCCTGGCGGCCCTGATAGCATCATTTGAGTCCAGCTGACTGTCCGCAAGGATATTCTGCAAGTTTTGCACCTTCTGCGTCAAATCCCTAGCGTGTTCCTGCACAACCGGCTTCAGCCGGGTGATTTTTTCGATTTCCTCTTCATTGCTCTCAAATCTGCAATTCTCCCATCAATTTGCATGCCACTTCAGACCCTTGTCGCTTACCTGGTCTTAAAGTCGTCCTTCTTCCTGTCCAGTTCATCTGGAGTCTTTTCCAGTTCTTTCAGCTTCCGGCTGGTCAGCTCCAGCAGGTCCGAAGCGTTCGCTAGCAGCTCCACAGATGTGTCGATGTTCACTTTCGATTGGCTTATTTGAGTTTCGATGTTCTCCAGATTCCCCTTAAGCCGGTCCTTTCTGGAAACATTCAAATTCCACGACTCAAAAATAACTTGATATCTTTCTGGGAAACTGGGCTGTTTCCTCACGCATCTGATAGCCAGATGTGCACTGGTTTTATCTGGCAAAACACCACATGTTGGCTCATTTCCTTTACGCAACTTTATTTATGAAGATAAAAGGCGCACATTCAAATCGCCCGCCTTCATCGCATGCACACTTATTGGGTTGGAAATAGCGACTAATCTCAGACGTTCGACCGGAGGGCAGCGTTGCCGTGATTAGCGTAACATTTCTCAAAATTTAGTTCAAAACAACTGGTAAACAACAAATGCCGGTATTTTCGTCCTTAAGAACAGTTCAAGGTTTAATTAAACGTCAACTAATAAAAAAAATGAAGTAGTGAATTAATTACAAATTACACACTGCTGCACTCGGCAACCGCGGCGGTGAAAACGTACGTCTGATCCGCAACAAGGCTGGTTTGTTGCAAGCAGCGAACGTCAACGGTGACATTCTAGGTTAGGTCGTTTGCTATGTAGTTTGTGTTTTGGTTTAGTGCAGATCCTTGCAAACTAAACGAAAATAATGAGTGCCTAGATGAAAACATGCTGCCAACCAAGGGCTATTTCCAGGATATCGAATGCCCGTTCTTTAACACGACCTGCGGCAGGCCGTACTGCCATTTCAGACACAAGCGGAGGCCCAACGAAGATGTCGAGCAGGAAACGCAGAAAACGGCGGTTCCCACGTACAAGCCGACCCCGAAGAGCGAGCTGGCCAACATCCACAACAGCAAAAGCCACATACCGATCAGCTACGTGCCGGATTTGGCGTTTAAACGCGAACGAACTGCCAGGCCTGTTCGCATCGATAAACCGACCTACAAGCCAACCCCGCTCAGTATTCTCAGTTCAGCCAGCAAGCCGGACAATGCCCTGCCAGAAAACCATGAACACACCGAAACCATCAAGGATCTTCAAGAAACCATGGCCAGTAACATATACGACCCATTGCAGTCCGAAATCAACTTTGAAGACTTATCGGTCGATTTTGACCTGATTGATAGTGTGATCAAGGAGAGCGACGACGAGGGGCCCCAAGCTGTCATCAACGATAACCTAATAAAGCTCGAAAATGACATTGAAAAGGAGCAGAACAGATTGAACTTGTTGCAGTCGCGAATTGACAATGGAGACCAGCACAGTTCGAACGGCTCTATTCAGGCGAAATTTAGCTCCGATGAGGAGAGCGTTAAGCCCACAAAAGCCCTCATCCCGCAGCCACCCGAAGACCCGAAGCCTCCGCAAAAGGACAAAGCCACCACCATCGAGAAGGAAGTCGAAGATGGCAAAGGCGGCAAGAAAACCTCAAGCCGACACAGTTCAAAGGAGAAGGAGAAGGCCTCAAAACGGAGAGAGGAGAAGAGCCATGATAAGCACGGGAAAGACCAGAAGAAAGCGAAACACAAAAGCAAAAGGCATGAGAGCAGAAAGTCGCGCAGCAAAAGCAGGGATAGATCGGGAAAAAAAGAGAAGAAGCATAGCAGAAACAGGTCGCGGCATAGGAGCAGCAAACCCCACACAAAAGGAACAAAGACAAAGCAGGCTGAAAAAGGCAACACTTCCCACACTGTCCTCTTTTCGCTTAATAACTTCAACTCCCTGTTACAGACAGACCCAGTCAGGCTGAGCCTGAGAAAGATCCGGAACTTTCGGACGTCGATCTGAACTTGGACGAGGACGACGACGAGACTATGCGCGAATGCTACAAGATATTCAATGAGTACAAACATGAACCCTCCCAGCCTGCTGAAGAAGTGAAAAAAGTGGATGAAGAACCCTCAGTTGACAGTGTAAGTGAAAACCTGCTCTACTCCCAAACATTCGTTTAATTGAATCGGCTTTACAGATATACCAGGGCAAGAAACGTACGGCACACGCAGGAGCCGAAGGCGCCACTTGCTCCAAATTGCCGGGCATTGCGCCCCCCAAGCCGCATCTGCTCCCCGGGCAAATGCTAGCGAATCGCTATAAAATTGCGAAGCTAGCGCAAGCCAGTAACGAGCAGGACAATATAATGAACGAAATCAAGTCCATTGCCCAGCAGAACGCGGTCAAGCGTCCAGCCAGCACTTTATTAGAGGCGGCGCGCCAGCACAAACTCAAACGACTGGAACGGCAAAAAGCGGCCGAAACCAAACAGTCCAGCCTAGTGGACAACATCCTGAATGGAGTGCATAAGCCGACAAACCAGAGGGTGATTGTGAAAAAAATCGCCGCCGTCCCCAATGTGGCTCTCATCGAGAAGGCCAAGCAACGGATCTCGCTGGTCAAGCAACAAGCCGTCCACAACGTCAAAACCATTGCCCAGACGCAAAAGAGCGGGCGGGTCGCCCACGTGCCCGAGTACTCCTTGGCTGACATTCCGGATGTTCTACAGGTAACTCGCCGCAGCTTCAACTCAGCGGCCTTTTTACACAAACGGAACTTTTCAGGCGGCCAAGTCCAAACTTCCCGTGAATGTGAGGACACGCTTCCTCACCCTCATTGCTGACGAGTGCGCCAAACTGTACGCCTCCAAAGAGGACGCCTTCAACAGGGCTTTGAGCGAGGAGTTTGCCTGCTATGAAAAGTGCAAAGTTTTAGCCACCTATAGGAACTCAGCAATGCTGGCAGTTAATAGGTAACTTAATTCAAAAAAGTATTTAATAGCACCGTTTTAAAAAAAAATCTGAATTTTGCAGGCTGCGAAAGGAACTTCAAGACCGCGAGAGTAAAGGGCTGGGAATGCTGCTAACGGGGGAAACTGTGGCCACTAAGCAAGCGACTGACTTTGAGGGCGAACGCTTCTACAACCACATGAAGAAGTGGCTGCTGACGGAAGAAGAGCTCGATGTTCACGGGTATCCGCGTGAAAGCAGCGAAAGAGGCAGAGCCCTCATACGCAACCAGGCGCAAACCGACTATTCGAGCGTGGATGAGAATCAGCGAAGATGCAGCAGGTGGGAGAGCAAAATAATTTTCCAAATCGAATCCGCATTGGGCAAAATTTCAGATGCGGCAAAAACTACATGGTGGACGACGACGGTTGGCCGCTGTTTGAGGAGGAATGCCTGTATCATCCGCTGAAAAAGCGCACCATCCGCAGAGAGCAGATCTACCTGTGTTGCAAGAGCGGCGATGAGAGCGGTTGCGCCATGTGCCACACGCACGTGTTTGGTGGACTGGCGCTGCATCAACTGGATGGTACATTTACAGCCGATAATCCAATCAAAACTCCTCATCTACTCACCGCTTCAATCTGTTACAGGCTACCAAACAACTTTGTCGCCAGAATCGGCAAACGATGCCCGCAGTCTCCAGGTCTACGCCCTCGACTGCGAAATGTGCTACACGACCAAAGGCCTGGAACTGACCAGAGTGACCATCGTGGACACGAACTGCAAAACCGTCTACGAAAGCTTTGTGAAGCCACTCAACCCGATCATCGACTACAACACGCGCTTCTCGGGCATCACCAAGGAGCAGATGGACCGAACTAGCACCAGCATTCTGCAGGTGAGAATTTGTCGCAAAACCACTCAAAGATTTTTCAATGAAGGACAAAACGATTGGTTACAGGTTCAGGCCAATATTCTGCACCTGTGCAACTCGGAGACCATTCTAGTGGGCCACAGTTTGGAGAGCGACATGAAGGCGCTGAAGATCGTCCACGAGAACATTATCGACACGTCGGTGATGTTTCCCCATAAAATGGGGTTGCCCCACAAAAGGGCGCTACGGGGCTTGGCGAGCGAATACTTGCAAAAGATCATTCAGAACGACGTGTCCGGACATGACAGTGCCGAGGACGCGGTCACTTGCATGGAACTGATCAAGTGGAAACTGAAGGAGGACCTCAAAGTGAAAACCAAGTGAAATCTGATTGTGATGTGTTGGATCTGTACTGGACAGTTCAAGTGCAGAGTGCCAATGAAAGGATTAAGTTTGATTAACTCAACCCATTGTATAAAGTTGGACGTTTCTTTTATACACAGATTCATCTACGCTGTAAATCAACATTAAATGTAGGCTGGTATTTATCGTTAATGCTGAGAGTAAAGACAGTTGGCTATTTCTACAAGCAGTTGTTTTATTTTACTCGCTCCTCAATTTGAATGGTTTCGGTCCAAATAATTTAGAAAAAGGTGGCTCAAAGTCATCACTCGCGGAAGAGTTAGAAGGAACAACAGTTAAAAATATTCAAGTAGTAAAAAAATTTTGAGAATTGCATGTAAATGTTTAAAATCGTGAAAGTCGTCTATTTTCGAGATAAATTCTTTAATATCTTGATCACTTACCCGCTTCTGCTGATGATCTTCTTGGCGTCGTTGGCCGTGTTCAATGAATACTGGGTGTGATTGTACAGATCGACCAACTTATCATTGAAGTCCTTGATGCCGCCGTTAATTTCCTCGATTTCCGTTTCCAGATTGTTAACTGGCACCTTGTAGTCGGTCACGTTCTTCAGCAGCTCGTTCACTTTGGCCAATTGTCTGCCCGCTTCCCGCTCCCTTTCGGTCAGATTGTAGATCTTGATGGCATTCAGCAGCTCGGTGCCCTTCTGTAGCGCCTCTTCCACTTCATTTGCTGCGAATCGAACCAACTCAGCATCAATTCATTAATTCAACTGGTAACAATTACCAGCTTCTTTGTTCAGCTGCCCAGCGATTCGGTCAATGTCTTCCACCACTCGTGAGCATTCTTCTTCCGCTTTGCTTGCACTGTCCAACACTTCTTCGGCACGGTCTTTGAGGGCCAGCGATTCGACGCGACGCTCCTCGCTGTTTTGAAGCGAAAAGTTCGATTTGCGGTTTAGGTTCTTCGAGTCCTGTTCCAAGCTCTCCAATCTGTCAAATTAATTTTGTCCGATAGTAAAACTAGATAATCCAATCAGGGAGACTTAACTTACTCTTGTATAAGTCCAGTGAGATTCACCTGTCTGGGGTCGACTTCGTCGAACTTTGGTCTGAGCCTATCCAGATGCTCACGCATGCTATCCAGCTTCCTTCTGGTAAAGTACCCCGATTGGGTGGACTGAAAAAATGACTTATTGGGGGGCATAAACGGGAAAATTGCATCAAAACTTACATCGAATTCGATAATAATGGGGTCGATAAGGGCGGCCAAAGCGTCGGTATCATCCAAAAGGGCGTGATGGCATTCGTCGCACTGATGGCACCCAAAGTCGGGCACAAAGACCCATCGGTGCGGGCACTGGTCGCACTTTTCCCCCACCACACCGGGCATGCACTCGCATTGGCCAGTCTGCGAGTTGCAGCCCAACCCGATCGAATACTCGCCCTTGCAACCGCAAGCTAAAACACATGCAAACAAATCTTGCAATGTTTTATTTTTCGTCTGGAAACTTACACACGCAGCCCTCTTCGGTGTAGTTCCAAAAGCCGGCAATGCACCGATCGCAAGCCCGGCCGGTTACGCCCTCTTTGCACTTGCAGCTTCCAGTGAAATCGTCACATTCACGACTCTCTGAGGCTTCGGCACAGTCGCACTTTGTGCACCCTGAAACACAGAAAGGCTGGTTAACAGCCCTAAAAAAAAACGGAAATTGGTACTGACCTACTCCGGACTGGAAGCCGTAGTGTTCGTTCAGGCAACGGTCGCATTTCTCGCCAATCACATTCGGCTTGCAAACGCACTGGCCAGTGGCGTGGTTGCACCTTTCAGTGCCTTCTTTGTCGCACAGGCAGGGCTGGCAGTCCTTCAGATTGACGGCGTCCCCATAGTAGAAAGGCTTGCAGAGGGCGCACGCCTCCCCAAACGTGTTGTTGAGACAACGAATACATTTTCCATTGGTGGACTGGCATGAGCCTGGATCGGACGAGTTGATGTTCCCGGAGCATTGGCAGGGCTTGCAGTAGTCGCCTCAAAAAGAAACACAACTTTTTAACTCGCTAAGTCAACTCTAATCAACTTTTCTGAATAACATTTTTCGATACTGCCAAAAATAACTGTCTTTATTCTTGCGCAATATTAATATTTTCTAATATACCTGGTATACGACTGAAAAACATTAATATCTAATGGTAGCATTTTAGGCTTTGTTAAGCAGAACTTTTTATGGAGAATAACTTTTTTTCGAAATATTAATAATAAAATAGTGCGAACGTAAGTGCACACTTTTTACAAACTTCTTTTGGGGTATTTCGCCTCAAAAATTTTGGACTAAAAAAGACAGAATTTCCTCACGTCTTTTATTACAGATTGATAAATAGTGCTCCTATTTACTTTACCTTGCACTTCGGGCAGACCGTAAAATCCAGGGGCGCAGGACTCGCATCTGGCCCCAATGTAGCCTTCAGTACACTCGCAGCTAATGTGCTCGCCATCCGAGCTGACATCGCATCCAGTGGCGAAACTGAAACGGCCCAAATCCCCAAATCACACCCAGTAGATCTTTCCCCAATGGCACTCACTTGTTACTCGCAATGGGCAGAGGACAGGCGCAAATTAAGCAGTCGTTTGGAGTTCCGGATCGAGCATCGCCGTGATAACCGACATTGCAGGACTCGCAGTGGTCGCCCTGTGTATTATGCTGACAGTTCTGCAAGCAAAAAAACCTATTGGTTTATCCTGCATTTTCCTAGCGGGTTTTGCAAAAACTCACCAAACAAACCCCCGTATTAACGTCGCACTCAGTGGCGTGCCCGTTACAGTCGCATGGCACACAAGCCCCCCCATGGGTCCCCTCGGTCTTCACCCGGTAGTACCCAGGCGAGCAGTCTTCGCACGACAATCCTAAAGCAAACCCTTAATAAATACCCCTACCACAATGCGCCCACAGTGCCTACCTTGATAGCTCAATTCGCACGAGCACTGTTCCACTGAAGGAAGAGGGACAGGGTTGCGGTCTTGAGGAAACCGCGCGCCGTAGGCGGCTCGTGAAACGCCCTCGTCCATTGTAATGTCCATTAGCTTAACAGTGTCTCCTTTGGTCCAATAGCTGGCTCTAATGTAGACGCCTCTGAGGTCTTTCAGCACTTCCATGATATGGTCGCGTCTGGCCGGCTCTCTTGAAGGAGTATCAAAAATTGCCTCGGTCAGCGCCACTTCGCTCCTGTATTCCTCCGATGGAGGAGGCTGCTCGAAGCTGGAGTAGGTGAGGAAAGTGTTGGCGCCTAAACAGAATCATTATGTTTAGACGAAGTTTTCGCCCGTTTTACCGGACACAACTTCACTTAGATTTATTGCGTTTTAACTGAAAAAATCTTTTGGGGATCGAGTGAATTCTCTATAAAGTCTAGAAACGCCACGCATTTAAATGGCGTCTGTCAAGAAGTTCATATAGAACCCACCTTAAGCAAGGAAAGAGATACTGGATCTTTAGTATGACGAAAAGAGCGACTATATAATCGTTCACCAACAAAGTGACACTAGTGTATAAAAAAATACTGTCTATCACCGCCTAGCTGGCAGCGGTGCAGTTTTTCTGCTTTGGCCTTAACAAACAATATGCATAATGGGCATAATGGGGAGCTTCTTAGGTTGAAAACCCAATTTTGGGCTTTGGTCTGGCCGGTTAAAAATGTGCCGACTTTACAACAACTTTTCCAGTTTTTAATGGTGTTTTTTTTTAGCGAAAATGCGGCTTTTGACCACTTTTTACTAAATAACATTCATTAGATTTCCACAAAATAACCATGATGTCTCTCAAACCGTTGTTACAATGAGGCAGTGAATTTTCCTTTCTCACTACTACACCCACTATTCCTCACTTACCGTGCAGAATAACATCGGGAGCACTAATAGCCGAACCGTTCGTCCCTATGCTGTAAAAGATGCGATACTGCAACAGGCCGCCATACGAAGCCAGCTTTCTTCCCAAATAGGAGGGCGGAGCCGAGAAGTAGGCGGTCGTGGTTTCGTTCACTTCCGTTAGGTCCGCCTCCAATTCGTTGCCTGTCACAACAAGCGAACCAATTAAATCATCGCCATCCAGCAAATAGACCAATCGCGCACCTGTAGCGCCTTCCAAGTCAGCTGCCAGATCACTGACGTCCAATGTGTCGTCTGCAATCTCGATAGCAACCAGATCCCAATCAGCCAGGTTGTAGATGGGAGCATTAAAGAATCCGGCACTGTAGCATTTGGTGGCTTTGCCCGAACAGTAGCATTTGGTGCAACCGTCCGGATTGGAGGGCTAACGCGAAGAAACCCCGATGTTAGTCAAGAAAATCTGGCGTTTCACCAGCTTCAATCACTCACCTGGAGGTTAAACGATCCCTCCCTGCAGCTGTCGCAATGCAGGCCCACCACATTGGCCTTGCAAAAGCACTCAGCAGTGGCTTTGTCGCAAATGTCGCTGTCGGTGCCATTTTGGTTGCAGTCGCAGGACTCGCAGTAAGGAAACGCGTAAAATCCGGCCTGGCAACTGTCGCAGGTTCTCCCATGGACGCTCTCCTTGCACCTGCAAGATCCCAATTTAGCACATAGCTAGATCACAATGTTTCCAGCCACTTACGGACAGGCGCCGTTCAGCAGGTCGCACTGCATGGTGCCATTGATGCCCAGCGGGTTGCATCCACACGGCTGGCAACCAATCAGCGAGTCGTAACCGAAGGTCAGCGGCGCGCATTGGTCGCATTTCTCGCCAGTCACATGCGGCGGACAAATGCACTGCCCTACAATCGAAAAACTTTGCCTTAGAAACACATTTGCGCAAATCACACCACAAAAAAGTTGTTGCAAAAGAAATGCCCTATAAGATGATCTAGATATCACCAAAAAGACAATAAAGTAGGCAATTTTCTCACCGGTTTGTGGCTCACAGTAGGCCGTGCTGGGGCAATTGCACGGCCGACACTCTGGAAATCCGTAGTAGCCGGTCCGGCAGGCGGTGCATTGTCGCCCAATGATGTTGTCCTTGCACTTGCACTGGCCGCCGAACTTTTCGCACTCGAAACTCACCGATCCTGCATAGTCGCATTGGCACGGAAGCGCGCCAGTATTGTGGGCGGCTGTTATCGAAAAAACTGAGTCCCTGCAAAAGCCTGCAACAATGCAACAGAAAGTTCACCCAAGAGTGACTAAATGGCTAAAGAAGGTTTGTACCTTTCTGGCTGGTGTCGATGTTGAAGTTATTGCTGCCGCAAGTGGAAATGAATTCGCCGGTTCGGTCCAGAGCCTCCTCCTCCAGATGGCCTTCGCTGTAGAGATCGGCCGGAATCACCAGCAGATAGTCCAAATAGACATTTTTGCCCTCCGGCTGCTGCTCAACAAAGGCAAAGCCCCCCGATCAACATCGTTACCTTGCGCCTGGATTGGTCCACTCACCTTGAAGGTGATCATGAAATTCTCCAGAAGATCAAACTTGTTGTTGTTTCCTTCGAGAATCAGCGACCTGCAGCCGGACAGAGTGGGGCAGTGTTGCACGGGGACTTTGGCTTCGTAGAACTTCCCATTTTGGATGATCACCTCCAAGTCGAAAACTGCAAACCGGAGGATTTAAAGTGAGGAATGCCACTAACAGTCGACTTACCTGGATAGTCTGGTTGGTAATAATGCAGCACAAAAGTGTAGTATCCAGGATCGGGCACTTTTCCGCGCATATCGATGGTGGCGTAGCGCTTGTTCAGCCAGACGAAGCTGCTGTTGTTGATCAAAACAACCGAGGGCTTATTGATGGCTGCCGATCCTTCCAGATCCTGCTCGAATTGGATCTTCTTCGTTTCCGGCGGGTTTCTAAAGGACGACGCGATGCACTCGCCGTTCTTCCTGATGCAGACCGGCTTTGGCTTGATATAATCCAACGACCAGTCGTTAAACGGGATCAAGTAGATGGAATGAATACCCACGTTGCTCGAGTTACTCTGCAACAAGAATGTTTGGAAAAACTAACTCTAGGACGTTCTATTTGCCGTTTTGCGCATACCTTCAAGTCGACGATCAGCGAATTGGCATCGACTGTGAAAACCCCCACTCCAGCCTCCTCATTGGTCACCACTTGTCGACAGGAGGCGGTGTATGGACAGGAGTAGAGAATAACACTGCCCCCAACCTCCCCAAAACTGGTATGAGCCACCACGCCTACTTTATGAGTACGCAGGTCGTCCAGTGGCGTGATATAGTTGATCAGCATCACGTACTGTCCAGGCTTGGAAACAGTGAGGTTGAAGGAAATCTCCTGCTGGTCGATGTTGAGCATCGGAACGCGGTTGTAGATATCGATGGCGTGTAGGTGCTGAATAGTGATGAGTTTCTCAATTATTAAAAGTGTGTGCTGATGAGGCCATCAGAATAAGTTTATGAATCGCTTCAGTAGTTCATTATTGTCTTGCTTAAGGCATCAGTGCGTGACACGCTCCTTAAAAAAGCTTAAAAACTCGTTCCCAAACCACAATGGTGGCGAAAGCCAGTCATTCACTACTTCCTACCTGGGTATTGGAGTAAAACTCAGTCAAAGGCCGAGTGGTTTTCTCCTGCGAAAAGTATCCTCCAACTCCGAAGGTTCGGTCAAAGAAGGTGATGTTCGGGTAGCCGTACGATCGGCATAGTCCGGTTTCGTTGAAAGTGCAGGGCGACTCTACTTTCTGGTTCAACACAGTGGCCAAGTAGAAGTCTTCGGGCAATAGCACAAAGTAATCCTGAAAAAATTGCCAATTTTGAAGGTCTGGCCCTGTTGGCAATCGCGCACTTTCGGGTAAACTTCAGTTCGCGAGCAGTGTACCTTGGTTGGCGCCACTCAAAATACACGGCTTACAAGTTGATGTGATTTATCAGAAAGAAACTTACCAATAAAATGGTATCATTGATGGTAATGCTGACGCTCCATCGGCCCGGATTCAGTACCATTGGTGAGGCGATGTTGCCACTGTCCCCTGAAACCACCGTGAAAACTGGCTGGGATGAGTTCTTAAATTGCACCTTCAAGTACTGCTCGTTGTCGTTGGAATTATCGGGCGTGACCTTAACAATCCCGATCACCGTGTAGGGATTGGGGTTGACAAACCTATAAAGAGTCACGTTTAGGGGTCTCGAACGCGGCCTTTCTGAGCAGCGACTCACCTCAGAACCATGCGGTAGAGCGACGGCTTGGATATGCTGATGTCCTGGATCACCTCCCTTTGCAGGTTGGAGGAGAAGACCGCATAGCCCTTCCATGAGTAGTTTCGGAAGACGTTCTCGTCGTTCTTGTAGCGCACTCGCATGTTCTCCAATGTGTGGCCATCCTCCACTTCGTACTGGTACTGGTAGAGGGTGGGGAAGTAATGAGCCTGATTGGAAAGAGAACCTTGAAAATCTACAGAGAGCCTCAAGGAAGAACGTTGGTCTGTACCTGCAGCGGTTCTTTGCAAGTCCTGCCAGTCACTCGCGACTGGCAGTTGCATTCGCCGGTTTGCTTGTTGCACACGCTGCTGATGGAGCCGCCCACATCGCAGTCGCAATCTGAAACACCCAGCAGATTTACTCCTTCATTCACAGCTACCTTGATGAGGGATTAGTTCTCACCAGTGCACCCGAACAGATTATCGTTCTGCAGATTGTAGGTGCCATCGGCGCATTCAGAACACCCCCGAGCCACCACCGACGGCTTGCAAATGCACTGACCATCATCAGAGTCGCAGACAGCGATTCCTCCCAAAACGCCGGCCCTGCTGCAGTTGCACTCTTCGCAACCGTGGGGATTGTTTGCGTTCAAGTTCCAAAAGAGCGGCCTGAATTCATCGATTTTTTAATGTAAGTTTTGTAAGTAACCTTGAATGCTTCCCAACTCACCTGCACTCATTGCAGATGCGTCCCTGCACTCGCTCCTTGCACTCGCACAGTTCCCCTGCTGGCACCGATCCGCAGCCCGCGAATCCAGCCACCACTCCCGCAGGATGACAATTGCAGTCTGCAGAAAATTAGCGGTCAATTAATAAAAAAAGCTTTTGTGATCATTGCTTGAAACTGAAGAGTTCCTCTGAGGCGTTTAGGTCGTGGTGCAAAGGAATTTCTTGCTGACGACTCGCAAGCACGGGTGACTTGCATCTTCGGGGGTGTTAAAGCCACCTGTAGCCCATTCGTGCTTGCGAAGGGTCTGCAAGAAATTCCTTTCCACTACGACCTAAAAACACCCAAGAATATTCAATCAGATTACGAAGAATTGCGAGTTTCACCTTCACAGACGGGAAAGTTGTAAAAGCCCTCCTTGCACTGATCGCACTGCTGGCCTGCAAAATTGTTGTGGCACTCGCACGTTCCCTCCCGGTCGCAGGACACGCCATTCGAGCCATGATAGTCGCACTGGCACGCTGCAAAAGTCATTCATTCAGCAGGAGAATAGCGGCCTGCTGGCGCGTCACTTACACTTGCACTCCGGATAGTTGTAGAAGCCGGGACTGCACTGGTCGCATGTTCGTCCTGCAAAACTGCCCAAGCACTCGCATTTTCCCGATACGCTGCAGGTGGTGCTGTATGAGCCGATTTTGCTGCAGTTGCACGGTTTACAGTCGGGATAGCCGTAGAATCCTGCAGCAGAGTTAGTACAATTTTTGTAACTATTGTAAACTATAGAATCTTACCCAATATACACACGTCGCACCTCTCGCCCCCATAGCCCTCCTTGCAGATGCACTCCCCAGTCCCTTTGTCGCAAATCCCGTCCTTGGTGCCCTTGATGTCGCAGTTGCAGTCTGCAACATTAACACCCCTGAAGAACCCGCCTTAAAACAAGATGTCCCAAAAAAACCGCTTGGATCCCCATATGACAATATGTCTCTAAAGACTTCAAAGAGAGAGATCAAAGCGCTTTCAGTCGGACACGCTGTATATATCTATACAGAGGCAACCTACAGTTGCATTTGGGGTACTCAAAGTACCCGTCTTGGCACTGATCGCACTTGGCTCCAGAGTGCATAACTTTGCAGGTGCAATTTCCCGACTCCTGGTCGCAAGACTGCGATTCTGAACCAACTGAGTCGCAGCCGCAGGCTGCAAAGACAATAAAACCCTCAATAAAGATTCTGCCTCAAAAACGGGCACGTACGTTTGCATTCGGGGAAGTTGAAGTAGCCGGGCGCGCACTCTTTGCAGCTCCTGCCACCAAAGTTGGGCTTGCACTGGCAGACGCCCTCCAACGGGGCGCACTGCTGGTTGACGGTGCCGTTGAGGAAACAGTCGCAGGGCTTGCAGTCGGGGTAATCGTAGTAGCCGAAGCTGCAGCTGTCGCAATTGGGCGGGGTGAACTCTATGCGGCACTCGCAGCGCCCGGAGCCTTCCATGCAGTTGCCAGTGAACGCAAAGTCGACACATTGGCAACCTGCAACCCTCAAAATCCTGCAGTAGAATGGACGCGATTGGCGTCAACTCAAAAGAACTCACGCTGACACACATCGGTTTCGTTCCAGTGCTTGTGATACGGCCGGTAGAAGCCCGCCTTGCATTTGTTGCAGTTGATGCCTTCAGTGTCGTGTCTGCAGTTCCTGCAAACGCCTCCTCCTTCGTACCGTCCATGGATGTCCAAGGACAATCGTTTGGCGTCCACTTCTGGATCATACTCGCACTCGTTTGAGTGTTGGAAACAGTTGCAGACTGAAAAAATAGCAGTAGAAGCCTCACAGCTAAACCCGCATTTGAAGAAAGCTTACGCTCGCATTTGAAGGGATCGTCGTATTTGGACACACGCCATTTCTTCTGCTCATAGCCGGGACAGCATTGGTTGCATTTTGCGCCGCAGGTGTTGTGCTTGCAGTTGCACATCAGGATTTTCGGGTCTTTCGGGTCGGGAATATCGCAGGTTTGAGCGTGGCCGTTGCACATGCACCTGCCGCCGATACTGATGTCCTTTATTGAGTAGAAGTACTAGAAAGATAAACGTTTGCTGCTGTAACCCGCAGGATTTTGAATGCTCGCTCAAGATCTACCCTTCTAGTTACGGTGGGGTCCTGCCGAGCCACTGACATGAGATGCCCCAGCAGGTTCTTGGTCCTCAAAAAGCGCAGCCTCACGTTGGTGGCTCTGGTCCATTCTTGAAGCACCGAGGAGTTGAAGTAGTGGGAGGCCGATGGCCGATTGGTCAGCAAAGATATCGGGATCTAACAGAAGAATGTTTTTATTTCCTCCCTAAGATCACGACCAATCAACGCTCATACTTCTCCCCCTTCCAACGGCACGATCTTCGAGTACTCAGTGGTACAAATGATGGAATCGTCCCTGGTGATCGGTTGCAACGTTTCGCTTCCAAAGTATGACTCGCAGTCAGCAGGCGAGTCGGAAAAGTACTGCCAGGGCGTGTAGGTTTTGCCATAATCGGCGGATTTTTCCAGCACCCAAAGTCCTGGCCGGGGCGAGTTTGCCATGTAGATGTAAACGTAGGCCACGTGGAATTCCTGCAACAGAAAAAAATCGGCCTCAATTCGGCCTGTGGGCGAAGGAACTTCCGTTCGGGTTTGAGTTAATCAACGCTTATCAGCGAATGGTCGGAAGCGCGCCTATCTGAAGCTGAAGATTTAACCGGATTTTTTCCAGTTTCATGCCCTGCAGGCAATGCTGAGGTTGAGTGATTTATACAGATAATAAAAACATTCAAAAACTATCAATTTGTTCAGATGCTGCTGACAATGAATCGAAATTGCAAGGGCTAAATAAATCAGGGTCAGTAATACAAAAAAATGGCCTTTGATTCTACATCAAACCCAAATTTTTTTAAATTTCTATCTTTGCTTTGGAAGATCCAACTGTTTGACGCAGAACCATGCAAAAAACCCTCAAAATCTCCCAGTAAAACCGCAGCAAAATTAACATTAAATTCCTCACATTCGCTGTTGTAAATGAGACGCGACTTTGTGTTACATTTATCGCTAAATAAACCGCTAAATCAATGAAAACAATCTTTAAACAAATAAAGACCGTAGGAAGCTGGCTTATCCTCGAAAGATGATCTAATAGCATGTAAACTGTTTAATATCCAGATTGATTGGCGAGCAGAGCAGGGCTTAGGACGGGTTTTAATGCGGCAAGCCACACATTCCCGATCCGATTTCTTCATTCCTTCGAAAATAGCTCGGTTTATGGGAATGTAAAAATAGTTGCTGAACGTTTACTAGAGCGCCGCTTGAACATTGTCGACTACTGGGCAATTGTTCATCAGCACAAAAACCCATCGCAATTGCATAAAAAATGCCGAGCAAACTAAGCGTTTTTCTTTAAGTGCAGAGTGTGAGCGCAGCACTTTAAAGGCCCTGACAATGCTTGGGCGTTGATGGTTTAAACACAACTTTATAAAATCCAGAACATCTGCAACACATGTGTTTTCAAACCGAATGATTAGCCGGAAAGCCGCTATACAGAACATGGCATCATCGGCTGGCCACAAAACGTTTGTTTTGGGCGGACAAAAACCCCAAAAAAAATCGGTGCAAACTGACCTGTCCCAGATCGATGGTCAGATTCACTTCCTGGTATTTCATGCCTCTTGAAAGGGGCGGACTTTGCCACCAGGTCTCTTTGCCGTCCACTGCATGCTCAGGTGGATGGTATCTTCCAGGTGTGTTTGGATCACAATAGTCACAATACTGAAATAGATTGATTTAATAAATTTTATTTAAAAAAAAGTTTTAAACTAGAGGGTATGGGTATAAGAAGGGTGGGATTTCCCAAAAGCCCCATTTGGATCTGTTTGCTTCTGAGGCTCAAACCTCCCAATAAATAAAACTAGTTTGGTTTTTTATGGCCCCATTTATTTTCAGATTGAAGCGATGTAGTAGAAAAATTTGGAGCATTTCCAGTGGTAGTATAACTTAACGAAAAAAGTTCAAACATCATTCTGACGGGGTTCAATGAAACTGATAACGAATTATCTTCGCTCTTGGTGCCCGTTAATTCGATAAGAGCCCGAAAGTCTTGTAAGGCCACCAAACAGACGCCGATATTTAATTTAATTACAGAAAAAATCCAAAAAACCCACCTGTCCTTGAATCACATTAGCGCTGGGCTCGCTGTCCGAATTGCTGCCAATCAATTTGCAGAACAGCTCCGGACCTTCAGTGTCCACGCCGCATGTAGCTGTAGCTGTGATATTTTTGCCCTCGGCTAGATTGAAATAGGGGGGCGTGAGCGTCTCTCCATTTGCCAGAGCAACTAAAAGGGTGGCCGATAAAAGGGCGACCCCCAGACCGGGGGGGCTCCTTGCAGGCCCCATTCTGTTCAGGACGAAGCGCGCTATGAAAAAGTCGCGGTACGACTGAGTTTTCGCTTCAGGCGGGTCGGCCAGACGATGTTTTTGATTCGTTCCCGGTACTCTTCGGCCGCAATTTGCTCAGGAGTTTGGGGTACTGCTGGACAGGGCCGGCTCTCAAATATTTTTTGGGAAAACTATGGGCACTGGAAGGAAAAAATCAGCAGTGAGCATGATGTGAATTCGTTTCAAAGAACTGCTCAGTTCAGAATGGCCTGTATACACATTCGCCATTGTGTCACAAAAACATTCAGAACGAAATTCGGTTCAAGGAATTTGGAAGGGCTTAAAGGGCAAATTGAGTAAATTCAACTGTTTAATGCCGTTCCTTTAAACAAACTAACTTAAAAAATTGACAACAATTGTATGTATAACCATATTTATGATATAATGATAGTACCTTATTGGACGCTACTGTAAAAAACAAAAATTCAACCAAACTTCTGCCGGATTTATGGCCCAGACACACTAGAGGCTCCAGATTCATTGCGCTTTCTTCACTGTGGCAGGTTGGTTGGGGTTCTTGTAGAAAATGGCCACCAGCATTATTAGTGAGCTGAGCACAGTATTCATGGTAAAATTGAACAGCAACGTCAAGTCCGCCGAGTCCAGGAATATTGTAACGATCCTTGCTGAAATCAATAACTCAATTTTCCCGCATTTCTGCAAAATTCGCACTTACTGAAGTTGGTGAACGCCGAAATGAACCAGGTCAAAATGCTGACCGACTGGGAGTTTTTGGTCCGCAAAAGTTCAGCCAGTTGGACCACTTTGGAGCTGGCCCCTATAGGAGTACACAGTGGCTGAAAAACACTGTGTTAAACCCAGCGCGCTTTCAAGATCCTAGCAGAGCATTACCACTAGAAAAGCCAGCAGCCCCAAGGGCGCCACCCCAACCAGAAACGCGGCCAGAATGGCGAAATAGGCACCGGAACCTAACCAGACGTAGATGCTGCTTAAGAGTCCCTGATACTTCAGGACAAGGTAGATCAGGATCAGCTCTTGGATCAGAATGATGGGGTATTCCAAGTAGGATAGAATGGCATATCTATTGCGGAAGTTGTAGGACATCATTATCGTGTAACTGAAAGAAACACGTTTTTTTAATTAAAGAAATATAATTTGAAAGGTAATCGCGCGTTAGTAAATAATAAGCAATTTTCAAAGAAAAATGTGTAATACATAAGATTTCAGAGACCTGGAGTTTTCGATGGGAAGATTGGGAGGACCATTGAGGAAAATTGAAATTTGTTCAACAACCCCTGAAAACAATACTTTAGAATGAGAGGTCAATGACCGCAAACGTCACTTTCTTCGCAATGAAGAAATTATATGAAGTCGGAGCTGAAAAGATGGATCTTACCTGGTCAGCTCCATCACCAGTCCAAAAACGCTGATTCCTTTCGCGTGTTTCACTTGGAGGACTTTGAGGATTTGAGGGACTTTCAAAATGAAACAGATCGCAATGGTGATGACACTCAAACTGTCCGAGAACAGCTTGATATAGTTGGGATTCGCCATTTTTATCACCATATTTTCAATCAGTAGATTTACGGTTTATCAAATAATCGCATTCCTCAAATACTCATCCTAAAACCGGTTTTCTAACCTATTTTTTACCAGATATGTGACAGAAATTAGGAAAGTCGGTATCCTTGACGAGGACCGGTTCTGATTGGCTGCGCCGCCTATTGGCTGCGTCGGCTACACTTGGGCGGTTACTACCATTCGCGAGTTCAAAAGTGTAAACGCTCCCTGATGGCTAAAATTATAACTACAAGTTAACTAGTAACTCGCGAATAGAGTAAGTAACATTATTTTATTTTTTCTATGGTTGCTACGAATAGTAAAAACACCTGGAAAATTCGTAATCGAAAATGTTTTAGAGAATTTGGGAAAATAATCATCATTTATCGATTTACCTAAAATACAGACTGGGTGGGAAAAGTATAGTGTCGGGCAGAAATAAAATATATTTGACATTTTCTTTTGACTTTTGAAAAAAATTAATTTTGGCATTTGCAGCCAAACACCACAAAAAAGATCCACTTGCCCTCTATCCGACGATGCCACAGTTCCGAAATCACCGGAGCGCCATTGTGAACAGGGTGGGCACTCTCGTTTGCACTCAACGTTCCGCGTTTTCCCATCACGAAATATCCCCCCTGTTGAAATTTTCTGTTTTCCCATCTCACTCGCTCACATGATCTTCCTCGCAAAAATCGATCGTTTTCCTGCTCTGTGGAACGTAGTTAATGGCTGTCTAAACGCACGGTAAAAACAATAACCGGTTGAAAAGAAAACCGGCATTTAATCTGACAAATAAATGCAGATATTTAACAAAATTTTACTTCAAATGGGCCTTCCTCTCCCCGCCCTGGGATTTGGGACTGTCAAACCGACTTGACACTAGCCGTTGGACGGTCGCCATCTTTGATGGTTCACTCGTAAGGTGAAAGTCTCTCGCCATAAAAGATGTTAAGGACAGTTTTTCCGTATTTTCCGCAACATTTCGCGTTTTAAGTGATAAATTTGTGTTACAATGGATCAGGACCTCAGTGGCAGTGATTTGCAAAGTGGACAGGACGCGGACAACAATCAGGTATGCGTGTTTTGCGTTCTAGGATTGGCGCGTTCTCATGCCTATTTTTAACTCTTTACCTTTAGCGCACTTTAGACTGTAGAAACACGTTGGCCCCACGCTATCGCCTGCCTTCAGACCCTTTATTCCAACCCTGTAAACTCACACAACGCTCAGCTTGATACCTCCCATCGCCCTAACCTTTAATACCCTCAATGTCTCAAGGCCTGAGCCTAAAAGGTAATTTTGCTCTTATATGAGCCGCGTTGGCCTCAGCCCCACTCACCAACCTCTGCATGATGCTGAAACTGTCGTGCTACATAGGGGTTGGACATTTTGACAATGCACTTGCTATTGGGGCCCCCATACAAGCGCATAGCTAGGCTCGGTGCTTCGACTGTATGACATCAATCAGATAAGTGGGAGCCGAACTTAAAATGTTGCTCATCTCATTTTCAGTGGAGACAGTTAAACTTTTATGTGCGAAAATGGGGTAACTATGCGCCTAATACCGCCAGTTCTCAGTGGTAACCAGCCAAGGGTGGTTCAAGCATATCAAGTTGTAGCAGAGCTTTTGAAAAATAGCATGAATTCAAACAATATTTTCACTTCCACTTTTTTCTAGTCGCTGGTGGGCAAGCTGAAGAAAAACGTATCAGAAATCATCAACAACACGCCGTTGTCGAAGTGGTTCAGTAAAGCAAGCCCAAACTCCTCAGTGAGGCGGCGCCAGGACGACTCGGACGATGAAGCGGAGCTACAGCAGCTCCAGCCGCCGACTAAGCGCACAAAGTTACCCCTCAACAAGGAGACGCTTAGCTTGGATGTGAGCGCAGCCCTAAGCCCCATTTCATCGACAGCCGCCATTAACAAGAAAAAGTATCGACGATTCCCCGAGCCGGTGGCGGGCCCCAGCGGCATGGAACAACGGAGGTCGAACTCAGGGATCAGCAGCACCTTAATTCTACCAGATCGGAGCCACCAGGTTCAAAGGCCAGGTAGTGGCTTTTCCTTAAATCATTCCTTAACACTGATAGTTCTGTTTGTTTCCAGTAGGCAGAGGGACAATAAAACCCGCACACAAAGAGCTGAACTCGGACAGTGAGGAGTCAACTAGTGGGTACTCGTCGGGAAGGGTGGGCAGCAAGGAATTGGTCAGTCAAGAAGGCTCCAAGCAAGCCTCACCTGCAGTCAGTCCTAAGAAAAATCGCTCTTTATTTGAGAATTCCAGTAAGTTGTCATCTGACCGCAGGCCTTCACGACGCTAACGAGCATTCATTTTGCAGATGCCAGCCGCTTGTTGGCCTCTGAAGCCAAAAACACGAGCCTCAGCTCGCGGATGCCCACTTTCAATCCTTCGATGTTCGGATCGTCCACGTTCGCAGACCGGACGCTTGCGAGTCAGCGGCTGCTTAGTTCGCCGTTCTACAACGGACGCACAATATACGGCGGTGCCTCGGCATACGGCCATCAGACGAAGAGATGTCCGGAGGACATCCAGAAAATCCTGCGGCAGAGCGTTCGCATCAAGCCAGCCAATAGAGAAGTGAAGGAGCCCAACATGCAGCTCAGCAAGACTGCCCGAAGGATTCTGGACACTCTAGAAAAGTACAGTTCGCCTGTAAGCGACGCCAAACGGATCCCAGTGGCCGCAAAGAAGGGCAGTCTGACGAGCTTTATCGGCGCCAATCCGTATCGACTCAGAGAATCTCGCGGGGCCTCCAGCCGAGAGCTACAAGTGCCCTCAGTGACTGATTTGCTGAAAAGCAAAATGGAGCTTCAAAAGTCCCGGCTGCAAACGACTACTGAGTCGGTGCGGCAAATCGCTACCCAGCCGGAAAACGCCGAAGTCTACCAAATTCCCACACAAACCGACAACTCGAAGCACATCTCGAAAATGAAAACCAAAATCACCTCAATTTCACGGCAAAAAGTCCACGTGGATGAAACAGTGCCTCAAGTCAACCTTAAGCCAGTCAGTTTTCCCATTGACAAACTTCCTACTTTTGACTTTATCGTTCCGCCGCCCGCCAAACTATCCAATGTGGCCAATGTGCCTGCCGTTCAAGCGGAGAAACCTCTAAAAGAAAATCAACAAAGACCTGCCCAAACATTGCAAGAAAACGGTAAAATCAGTGGCGCCTTCAAATTCTCATCGCCGATAGTACTAGCAGATTGCCGGTCAGCGCTCAAGACTATCAACCACTTCAAGTTTAGCGAGCCGTTGGTGAAGAAGCGAAGAAGCATCCACGCCGAACTGGATGAGCATGATGGCAAGGCGAAGAAGAACAACGGAGAAAATGCGCCGGAGGCCGCAAAGGGCGGCAACCTGTGGGACAAGTTCAAGGCGACGAACAATACGTGGGAATGTTCAGTGTGCATGATCAGAAACCAGGTTGAGTCCCTCAAGTGCGTCGCTTGCGAGACTCCCAACGCCCAAAAGAAGCCCAGCACTGGTAGGTTTTAAGCGTTTTATGTTGCAGGGTTGGTACAAATTGAGTTTTTTTGCAGAAACAGCCAAAACGTTTGCTCCGATTGCTGCCGCTAAAGAAGCTGAGCAGACCTGGGAGTGCCCCACTTGCATGATCCGCAACAAAAGGGACATTCTCCAATGTCTAGCCTGCAGCGAGAAGAAGCCCGAAAAATCCACCCCTGCCGAGCATGCAGCTCTGCCTGTTCACTCTTCACTTCTTCAAATCACCACCACGACTGACCCTATCTCTAAACCATTAGGAGGCAGTTTTGCATTCACGAAAATGCCCTCCAGTTATCTAGCTAAAGCTGATGAGGTTTGTTTTATTGCAACATCAACTCCCATGAATTAATGTCGTTTTTTTTGTTCATAGAGCGCCGTTGGAGGATTTGCGGTAGACTTCAAGAAAAAACCCGATGAATGGGAGTGCCAGGTGTGCATGGTGCGAAACAAGGCCGATGCCAGCAAGTGCCAATGTTGCGAAAGCGCCAATCCTTTGGTGCCGGCGCCAGCAGCAGCGAGCAACGCCAGTGCCGCGCTTTCCACTTTTAATTTCGGCATCGACAAGAACACGGCCACGAGCTTCAATTTCGGAATACCGCCCGAAGAGGCCAAGGCAACAGCCCCGAAAACGAACGCAGCTCAAATTTTCGGAGAAAATCGCGAAGCTCCCAAAGCAGCCCAAAGTTTCAGCTTCGGCATTCCAGCCAAGGAAACTGAGCCGTCAAAGCCCAGCCAAGACGCGCCTAGCAAGTCGGCCGAAACACCTAAAGCTACTGAAGGCACCAAGGAGGTGCCCACATTCACCTTTGGCTCAAAGCCGGCGGATGACACTGCGAATAAAACGCCAGTGTTTAGCTTTGGCCCAGACAAAAAAACTGAAGCTGATGCGCCCAGTAAAGACCAAACCCCAGCTGAAGGAGCAAAGCCTGCAGAAGAACCCGCTCAAAAGCCCCAAGAGACGACAGTCAAACCAACAATACCGAGCTTCAGTTTCGGTTCGACGAGCAAAACTGAGCCAAAGCCGGAGGACAAAGGCCAAGAAACCACTAGAATCAACCCGCTGTTAAAACCGAACGAAAAGCTGCCGGAGAAGAGCGCAGTTGCTCCTGCAGGGTTCAGTTTCGGATTGCCCAAAGGTGAGCTTTGATAGCCGGATTTTTTTGGGAGATTTAACATTGTTTGTTTAGTATTATCAACCCCAGTTTCGTCAGCCGCACTAACCCCAGTCTTGAGTGGGAGCGGCGAAAAGCTTCCGAACAAGCGGACGCGTCCAGAAGAGGCCGAAGCGACTCCCCTGGCCAAAAGCGCGCTGTTTTCCTTCCAATGCCCGACCACCAATGGGGATGCCAGTCAATCAAAGTCAATGTTTGGAAAGCCCGCGGTAGACAAGCCGGCTGCGCCTGGGGGATTCAGCTTCAATTTTGCCTCAAGTCCGGCCCCAGTTGCAACAAGTGCGATTGTAGCGCCTACGTTCACCAGCTCGGCAAGTCAGGCTGATGGTGCTAAGCAGACCGCGCCTATTTTCAAGTTCGGAGCCAGGTTTGTAGCTTTGCAGCTAACCTGGAGGACGGTGGTTTAATCGGGCATTGTTGCAGCACTTCGGAGGCGCCCAAGCAAGCCAACGGCTTCAGCTTCGGATCGAAACCGGCCGAGTCCAAGCCGTTCACATTCGGCCCGAGTTCGGCGCCGTCGTTCGCTGCAGCACCCCCAAAGCCAGGCCCGAGCCAGTTTTCCTTTGGAAGCAACACTGAAACCAAACCTGGCACCTTTTCTCTCAGCGCCGCCAGCAGCGAGAATAAACCCGCACTTCCGTTCGCTTCAAGTGGCTTTGGGGCGCCCACCAGTAAACCCGCTTTCAGCTTCGGCGGTTCGACGCCAGCGCCGACATTCAGCTTCGGTTCCAACCAGAAGCCCGAATCGACTTTTACCGGTGCAGCTGCCGCGCCAGCCAACATATTTGGGCAGAGTTTTGGCGCAACGGGACCTCAAGCGCTACCGACATTTGGCGCAACATCGGCTCAAAACAATGGCAGTTTCAATTTTGGGGCGGCGACTGCTGCTGGCAGTCAGAAGGCCGGTTTCACTTTTGGAGCCTCGAGTGCGAACACTGATCCTGCCGCGCCTTCGGCTGGCTTCAACTTCGGGTCTTCTGCCTTGGTTAGTAGCGACTCAGTAGGAGCTGGCCTGGATGTTCAGTATTTTTGGTGTTTCAGGGTGCCGCAGCGCCGACCGGAGGCTTCAACTTTACCAATGCGGCGCCGGCTTTTGATGCCAATGCAAAGCCGGCCTTTAATTTCACGGGGGGCGCTGGACTGGCCGCTTTCTCGTAAGTTTATAGTGACATAATAGTATTATAGTTTATAGTGACATATACCCTGGCAAATTTAAATTTAAACCTGATAAAACTACAAGTAGATGCAATTTTAAATATGCAGGGTTATTCACGCTATAGGGCACGGAAGTTTGCGGCTAAACCGTTTGATTTTTAAAAGGTATTATTTTATGAATTGTCCGACGCCTACCGAGCGCACATTTTAAAAATATTTTTGTAATGTACAGGGTGTCCCAAAGGCTCTAAAGGTATCAA